ATATATATATATATATATATTTATTTATTTATTATTTATTTATTAGTATAGTAAACATATTTATTATTTATACATTTTGTGTATAAATATACTTAATTTATTTATTTTAATTAATTTATTTTATTTATTTATTTATTTATTTATTTATTTATTTGTTTATTTTATTTATTTATTATTTATAATTTGCTTGCCGCATAATATGCCGCCTTTAGTAAACCCTTATCTCCATAGCAGCAGCAGCAGCAGCAGCAGCAGCAGCAGCAACAGCAGCGACAGCAGCAAATACAGCAGCAGCAGCAGCAGCAGCATGGCCCATAGTACAAGCAAGAATAGCAAATAAAATAAATCAAAGAAAGCCGTTGTACTATGTATTGTGCAGCAGCAGCAGCAGCAGCGGTTGCTGCTCTTGCTGCTGCTGCTGCTGCTGCAGCAATTGGCATGCAGCAACGATATGTGCTGCTGCAGCACAACATTATTGCAGCACTTATTGCTGCTGCTGTATGCTGCTGATACAGTTGCTGCTGCAGCAACTGTTGCTGCAGCAGTAGCAACCCTTGCTGCCCCAACTATAGACTCGTTGCTGCTGCTGTTGCTGCTGCTGCTGCACTAGGTGCCCTTACCCTTGCTGCTGGTGCTGTTGCTGCTGCTGCTGCTCTTGTCCTATCTCCCAGATTAGCTATCTGCACGAATCTGTTTCTGCTGCTCCCCGTTCTTCTTCTTCTGCTGCTGCTGCTGCACTTGCTGCACTTGCTGCTGCTGCTCTTGCTGCTGCTCTTGCTGCTGCTCTTGCTGCTGCTGCTGCTGCTGCTGCTGCAGTTCTTGGTACCATTGTGGCTCTTTTAGCCATTTAGGTTTATTAACAATAGTAGGCAGAGGTAACATAGAGGGAAGAACTAAATCTTTTATCTCCCTATACACCTCATCATGGCATTGCTGCAGCTGCAGCAGCAGCAAAGAACATAATTTATCTCCTCCTGCTGCTGCTATTGCTGCTGCTGCTTCTGCTGCTGCTGCTTCTTCTGCTGCTGATGATAATGATGATGATGATGGGGATGCTGAACCTTTTGCTGCTGCTGTTTGTGCACCTACAGTTTTACCTGCTGCTGCTGCAGGTGCAGTAGCAGCAGCATCAGCAGCAGCAGCAGCAGCAGCAGATTGCTGCTGCAGGTGCAGCAGCAGCAGCAAATCATCATCCCTACATTGACTCTTATATAGTTTAGCAATATCATAACATTTCCATCCTTGTGTCTCTGCTGCAGTTTGCTGCATATGCTGCAGCCATAATTTGCTGCTGTTGCTGCTGCTGCGTCTCTGCTGCAGCAGCAACCCCACCATTAACACACTATTAAACACAAAAGATCCATATATTAATTTATGTTTATAAGGAAGACACCTCCATACACCCCGTATATTATATATATGCTGCAGCAGACCCATCCCTTCCTCCTCCTGCTGCTGCTGCTGTTGCTGCTGTTGTTGCTGCTGTTGCTGTTGCTGCTGCTGCTGCTGCTGGTTGTGGTGGTGGTTAGTGTTATGTGGTGCTATGAATAAGCATAGTATACACTTAGGAGGTACTGCAGCAACAGCAGCAGCTGCTGCTGCTGCTGTTGCTGCTGTTGCTGTGGTTGTTGCTGCTGCTGTTAACTATCTTCTAGTCTCGCGAGATAGAATCCGCCTCTATGCTGCTGCTGCTGCTGCTGCTGTTGCTGTTGTTGCTGCTGCTGTTGCTGCTGTTGCTGCTGCTGAATAATCTATAATGCGTCAAAGACAGCAGCAAACACTTTCTTAAGAATTACACTAAAGAATTCTAATGACTGCAGCAGCAGCAGCAGCAGCAGCAGCAGCAGCCGCGGCAGCAGCGAAGCCCTCAAGGCACCAGCAGGAGTAGCAGCAGCAGAACTCGTGCTGCAGCACAGCAGCACAAGAAGTATATACAAAGGAAAATAAAAAAAAATAATTATATTTAATTAAATAAAATAATAAAAAGGTTATATATAAGTTAGTAATATATATATTAGCCCTCTGCTGCTGCAGCAGCTGCTGCTGCTGCTCACGACGGTAGCAGCAGCATGCAGCATCATCATCAGCAGCAGCATCAGCAGCAGCAGCAGCAGCAGCGGCTGCAGCAGCAGCTGCAGCAGCCACTCTGGCGCAGCAGCAGGAAGACGCTGTCTTACAAACAGTTACTCTTCTGTATTTATTTAGCTAAGAGTAGATACACTGCAGCTTCTGCTGCTTCTGTCTTACAGTATCAGCAGCAGCAGCAGCAGCAGCAGCAATAGTAGCAGCACAGCAGCAACAGCAGCAACAGCAGCAGCAACAGGAGCAGCAGCAACAGCCTCTGCCCCATACGTTGCGGTGTCTGTTTGTCCCTTGTTGCTGAGTTTATTGATTCGTATATTTTAATTGCCTTACGGGTGCAGCTGTAGCAGCAGCAGCAGCAGCGGCAGCAGCAGCAGCAGCAGCAGCAGCAGCAGCAGGGTTGGCAGCCCACCGGAACCCTAGCGGCCGCATACCGGCTTGGAGTGATTGGAT